CCCGGCTGGAGTGGACTGCAGTTTTGACCTCGCATCGGTCTTATCAACACCCTCAGCGGGAGTCGAACCGTAACAGTGCAGAATGGGAGCTTGACGCGTTAACTAATCGGCCACATTGAAACAAGTGCCCTTGGGTCACAGGGCAAATGTGAATTTCAAGGAAGGCCAGGCCTTTTCCCATATCACATTCTTTGGTGGGATTGTCGATGAAGCAGACGTATATTTGCTATAACAATCGACTATGTTACTTCTGTTTCGCATTTAAGTATTGTTTCGAGGCTAGCACTAACTCAGTAATATGAAATATATTCACCCAATTTCGTGTCAGGTGACTGGTAGTCTCGAAACAATACTTAAATGTGAAAAATATAGTAAAGTAGTCGAGTGATATAGCAAATATACGTTTGCTTCATCGACAATCCCACCAAAGAATGTGATATGGGAAAAGGCCTGGCCTTCCTTGAAATTCACATTCGCCCCTGTGACCCAAGGACACTCGTTTCAATGTGGCCGAGTAGTTAATGCCTCAAGCTTCCATTCTGCACTGCCACGGTTCGACCCCCGCTGGGGCTGTTGATAAGACCTATGCGAGGTGGAAACTACAGTACACTCCAGCTGAGATAAAAACAACTTTTGGGAAAGCAAGTCTATGCGAAAATCAATGGAAAAGTCAGCTCTACTCATATGATTGTGGGAAAATTCTTCTACCAGTCCTTCGTCCCCTCACACGAAATTGGGTGAATACATTTCATATAAACGATGAATATTGTTTAGGCAGTTCTGGATTCGTAGGAGTCACTGGATACAATGAATTTTTCTTTTTATATCAATGTTGATTGCGGAGTGGCGGATGTGGCTGCATCATCTAATATTCCCAAAATATTTATTAATTGGCTACATTTGGTGCCTGGCCCTAGGATAGATATAGTTATTAATTACTTGTACCCATGAGTGATTAATGATATGTCAGCATGAAAGACTAGCTTGCATTATCAGCCTCAAGTTTCCAAGATTTTATCAATTTTAGTTTATAGTTAATGGACTTTTATCACCACTAGTCCCATTTTATGGGCACCTCTTGACACGGCCACTTCTTCCTAACACGTTGTTTAAATGATAAATCTGGTTTTGGAGGCTATTCTCAGCCTAATCAGACCATTTTACTGGACGCTTTACTAACTCGTAAATAATCCAGCCTTCGACTCTTTTATCCTGTGATCAGGATTCGGAGCCCGGATAAAAAATTAATGGATACACAGAAAAAACGTATTCATTTGTATTTAAGAGTCTGTCTCAGCTTTTAGTGTATATGGTTTTTATTACTCATATTAAATATTGCTATCGAAGTTCATAAAATCTGACAACACTCCACATCAAGTGAAATAGTTACAAAGTCTTAGGTCTTAGTTTCCACAATATAAAGTAGTCGCTAGCGATTTTGGAGCCTTCTCTCAGCCTCCTATGGTTTATTGTGAAGACTTTCGTTTCGTATGAAAGTGCATGATGAAAATATTCGAAAGTCGATCTCACCAGAAGACGACGGCTGATTCGCGTTGTACTACAGCCGTTTAGTTTAAATACGACCTTCAGTATGATGCAGGGCATGGGATAGAGGTTTGCTGATTATGGTATTGTCTGCTATCAAACGCGAGATAAGAGAGGCTATCAAAATTAGTAGATTGGAGAACAAGTTGAAAGTAGGGAATAGTTGTTGAAAATTGAGTTAGAATTACTTATATGAGCTGTGTTTACCCTAATTAATTTTAGGTGATGCAGGACTAGTAG